AGGCAAAGGATCTGCCATGGGACTTAGCCACGTTGCTCATGGGCCACCAAAGCAACCTTATGAAATCATGGAGTAGCTTTGAGTAATATATGTTTGGATACATCAGACCGAAAATCATCATGACGATCTGACGGGCAAGATACTCATATTATGATGAGAGAAAAGAACACACATTCGACTACCCTAGGAATGGACGGTGTTTGGGTCCACTTGGCGTTAACCAAGCGTACCTATACTACAGCGAACGAGCAAACGCCCTCGGCTGACCTACCTCTGCAATTGCATCTAAAAACTTTCGCATGTGGGTCAGTAGCTCAATAGGGATACGCTTCTAAGTGTGGTGATAGCCCCTTAGGGAAGGAAAGCAAAATGTGCCTCGTGGAAACCTATCTTGTCGTAGGGAACCACGAGATGTACAGCTGGTGCACCTGGCCAGAGCGGCGAAGGGACGACGCTACCGCGACCGTCTCGGCGGTTCGCGGGGTTGTTAAGTATCGTTCCCGAGTTGTCTCATTATTCGTTTGTTTTTGTTTAACTCCTGCGTGACATGGTCGGGAGGGGTCCCGCGCTTTGCAAAAAAAAACGGGAGTCGATGTGCTCGACAGCGCTTGGGAAAAGTCACGAGCGCAGTGTAGTGCCTTCAGGCCTGGGTTTATTGGCAGAGTTAGTGTGAGTGTGCCCTAAGTATCCCCTCAGTCACCAGGGCTGAGGGGAAGTACCATAAACACCTTGCTCGAAAAAAAAATAAAATTGTGTGGTAGTACTGCAATGCAAATCTGCCCGGCAATGACTTGTGATCTCCCCCAGTCAGAGTTTACTGGTTGAGTATGAGTATGCTCTGAGTATGCCCTCACTCACCACCGCTGGAGGGATGTCCCATTAGCAACAAACTCAGCTAGAAACAAGTTTGTGTGGCAGTAGAGCGGCCCAAATCTGCCCTGCAATGACGTGTGATCCCACAGTCAATGTTTTACAAATATTTACTGGAAAATAAAATAGATGTAACTTCCCTTCCTCCTCTCCTTAAACCCCCTATACAAAAAATTTGATGAATGGGCCTACTGCACGAGTCTGAATTGATTTGAAATGACAAAAATAAAAAGTGTCACAGATAGCGGTAGATATTGGTGGTTTAAACCACTAGTACCTTTCCCGTATGTCGGCCGCGGGCAGAAAAAAAGCCCAAAACGAAAAACGGACCGCTAATGAAATTTATCAACGGCAGTCTGATCCTGCTCGGCTTCCAAATATAGCGGCGTGTATTTGATTCTCAAGCGGGGTACTAAGGGACTCGTGGTTTAGGATGTCGCAGAATGTCTCCGAATGTCTCTGCTTTTATCCAGTTGTGCTTTTGGCGGTGGAATGTTTTGCTCTTGGTCCGTGTACCCTTGGCTGGTCATCATTCTCATCGTTTAACACAACAGTCAGTCCCGATATCTTCATCGAGTTTGGTCACACTAGGCCTCACTAGAATAGCGGACGATGTGATGCCGACACACTTTTGATTGATTGGCTAGTAGTAACAAGATCATGCATTTATGAGTCAGAATTATGCCAGATGAGTATCCTGCTGATCCCCAAAAGGGTCAAACTGCCGATATCTTATGTGGTTTTGAATTGATTCCCCATGACCGCAACCTTCACATCTTTCGTGGTTTTGAATTGATTCCCAATGACCGCAACCTTCACATCTTTCGGCCTCAAACCATCTTTGGGAGTCTTATCACCCAGGATAAAGATTTCTATACCAACAAATTTACCTACAACTATCCTCAAATCCCTACACTATTAAACCACAAGTATTTGACCCATACATCGGTCACGGGACGTTGCCGTTAAACCACCAGTACACAGCCTCAGCTTTGCAGCAAAATAACTTGTCGCCACAAGAAGCAAAAGGCTGGCTCGGGGTAGGGTCAGAGCGTCAGAAGGTTTTCAAAACTTCGGGCCCATGTCAAATCCGTACGTCGTTATTTATGTGTAACCGACGGGGTATGGGTGGAAGGCAAACAACCTCCCCGTTTTGAGTATTCCTATAGTTAATTATAAACCCAAGATAGGGGTTTTGATTCAAAAGCAGAAAGTTGCTAAGAATCCAATAGTGACGGCTGAGAGAAGGCTAGTTCAGAGTCGGAATGTTGTGGTACAAAAAACAAACTTATTCAAGTTGTGGAAGACCTTAAAGAGTGTCCGTCACAAAAGTAAGCGGCTTTGCAATGATTACAATCACTGCAAATAACCGCGTCCTCGACATGGCTGGATTAAAAAGGGATGGATATTCCTACTACCTGTGTCAGGTGTGAATGGGGTTGGGAAAGTGCGTCTCACCTTTGGTTGTCTTGCCCACTGTCCAGGGATGTCCGGTAGTGGTGGAACGAAAAGTGGAAAAGTTTCTTAGACTCCCCCGGGGATTGGGGGGAAGATTTCATTCTGCACGCCAAATGGACAGGGAACGGTAACTTCACAAATGGTGTGGGTTATGTGGCCTTGATCTGTAGAGGAATAATTTTTGAGGCAATCTGGACAGCCAGAAATGCCAAAGTTTTCCGTTCGGAAACAATAGCAGTGCATCATTCTTTTAATCAGATAGGAGCAACTATTAGATTAGTGACACGAGCTGACTGGAAAACAAAAGGCTTGTGCTGGTTTTCCAAGACATGGGCAAAAGAGGCATCCTTTGCATCTGTTTCATCTGAAGGAAAAATGCATTATGCTCGGTGGTTGCTACTGGACTGGTGGAGTTGGAGTGTGGCGAGACAAGCCGTTTTGGGAAAATTGAGTCCGAACTCTCTGTTACTCTGCCTCCGGGAGTTAAGAGTTTTGAATAAATGATTGTTATGTTGTTGGCACAAAGTGGAAAAAAAAATTAAGTGGGTTCTGTAGTCTTGTAAGGCGGCTCCGCTCACAGTCACTTTGTGTCTAAAACCCTTCAGGGTGCCGTAGAGAGCTACTCGTTACTAAGGGTAGCTCACCTCCCTTTTACGAGCTTCAAGATTAATTTTCTTTTTTCCTTTTTTGGAAAGCGATCAAGATAAGGACGTTGGACCTCATTTCCAACATAGGGGGACAGTTTTCTGTTGGTGCAGCCAGAGTTGATACGCGAGCTTGCTTCATAAGCGAAACTGGCTGAGGCTTCCAGGATAACTTCGGGTTGAATTGTGAGGTCCCCGACCTCATTCAAATCATTGCTTGGTAATAATACTTTCAATGCTTAAAAAAAAAAAAAAAAAAAAAAGTACGTCCCAAAAAACAAAACAAGCTTTGGCCCTGATTGCAGTTGGATACAATTTTTGGAGTACTGCCCTCAGTGAGGGCACTTCGGCCAAATGAGTAACACGGGGGGCACGGCTGTTAGAATCACAAAAAAAGAACAAAAAAAAAAAAAAGCCTAAAAAAACAAAACAAGCTTTGGTCGTGATTGCAGTTGGATACACTTTTTGGAGTACTGCCCTCAGTGACGACACTTCGGCCGAACGAGGAACACGGGGAGCACGACTGTCAGAATCACAAACAAAGGGGCTCGTTAGACACTCCTTAGGCGCGTAAATCCCCCAATGAAATAATCGTTAGACCTACCCTCGAGGACAATTTCCGAAAATGCAATGTGAAAACATTTCCTTGGGCTGTCCTTGGGGCGTCCTCGGGCTACAGGCAATCGCCGACGATCCCCAAGGTTTCTCACGAGGTCCCTTGGAGGCTGAGCATCCGCGATAATCAGGACAGCGGCGACATCCTTCAACGACGACAATTTTTTGGAGGGTGGTCCAATGCAGTACCTGCCGGTCAGTCCACAGACATGTCCGGTCGCCAACGTTCGCCTTCGATGGAATTGACGGCAACGGTAACCGTTGGGGACGGCCGGCCCCTGCGAACGCCGAAAGGCGTTCGCAGTCCCTCGCGCTGGAGGGTGGCAAACGGAAAAGGGTCCAACGGTCATCAAATTCGAATATTTCAGGTGGCAAGTGTTCCAGCCACCCACCGCAGTCTGCAATGTAACTCGGCAGAGGGCGTTTTCTTGTTGGAAGTTGTCGCCTACTGTTTGTTGCCGTCTGCTTCGCCATTTGCTGGAGGCGCGCTGTCGTCAACTGTTTCCTGTCCGTACGCATGTATAGTTCATGGCCGACGTCTTTCGAAGGCTGCCGCTGCTTGTCCGAGTCGTCATTTTGCTTCTCCTTGTTATCGTTTTCCACGTGTGCATCCTGGGTCGGGTGCCTGGTCGCAGTCGCAAGCGACGATCGGCGAAGAAGCACATCACCATCCATAGGACGAACGGCAAGCGAACCACATAACATCGTTGGAACAACACGCTAACCACCGCCCCAGCCACGACGGTACTCGCGGTACAAGGCCGCACGACCCGTCAGCCTACGCGCACCTCCCACCGCACTTGCAACCTCTACCTAACTCGTCAGATGGGGAGGGGGACGAAGGTGGGTCACGTACAGTCCCGCTGGGTAGCGGGTCCACCAAGGAGTGGGCAGGCAGCCAGTCGTGTGGTCAACGTGCTAACACATACAGGCCACAGTCGTACCCTGAACTCCTGGAGGAAGGCCTCCGCGGAGACGACGTTGATAGCACCATGAATTTGTCATTCGAGCTGGTAGCGGGAGCTCTACGGTCGCCGTACGGACAGTCCTCGCCAACCATCACCTTGACGACGACGCAGGGCAGGTGACATAGGTCGGCCGATCTGCGAAGGGTGCGTCCGTCGGATGGGAGGGATCGGATAACAGGAGGGAACGGACAAGAGTGCAATCGTCGACGGCATCAGTGTCACACGTTGGCGTCGGTCGTCCCCAGTGGATGCGGTCCCCGTCTCCATTGTCGGGAGGTTGCGTTGGGGGGCGACGTGCGTCTGAGTGCGGGCCGACGGACGAGGACTTCGCATGCGGGGGTGCCGAAGCAGATGGGAGGCGTGTGTGGAAGGAACAAAAGCAGAAGATGCATTGACGGTAAGAGGAGTCGATAACCGAGGGGGTGCAGCGTTTGCACGTGGGGGAGCGGGACGTGGAGGCAGACGGGGCAGTCGGGGGAGGCAACGACTACAACAACGGAGACGAAGGCGAGTGCGAAGCACAGGACGACGAGTCGGGGGACGTGTTTCCGGTGCGGAAGGCAAGCATGGGCAGTCGGGCCGGTAACAGCAGGGCTTCCGCATCAACTGCTAGGCATGGAAAGAAAGCGGTGGGTGGTGGTGGCGAGGCCGAAGGCGACGAGGAGGGGGAGGGTGGCCAGAACTTCTGGTCGGTGGAGCACATGGTCGCCCTCATCAGGGCGAAGCGGGACCAGGACGCGCAACTGCAGATGGCGGGCCACGCATTCGCTTGGATGAAGGGGAGGGAATGGAAGTGGGCGGACGTTTGTGAGAGGTTGTTGAAAATCGGCGTGGATAGGCCGGCAAACAAATGCGGGAAGAAGTGGGATAAGTTGATGCAACAGTTCAAGAAGGTGCATTGCTTCCAGGGCGAGTCTAGGAAGGAGGATTTCTTCCAGCTGTCGACAAAGGAGAGGCTGCCGAGGGGGTTCAATTTCAACATGGATCGGAATGTCTACGAAGAGATCAAGGGATCGACTGCAAGGAGTCATACAATACACCTGCAGAATGTCGCAGACATCGGCCGAGCAGGAGGTGTGCAACTTCCATCCGGGTCTTCTGGCAGTCCAAAATTTGTCGGCGATGGGGATACAGTTGGCGATGGCAACGATGAAGAGGACAGCTCGACGAGGGGTTGTTCGCAGACCACGAAAAGCCCTGGCAGTGCACGGAAAAGAAAGAACATGAGGCAACAGACTTTCGAAGCCCTCACCGAGTGTATGGAGAAGCACGGGATGTTGATGGCCTCGACCATGGAGAGCGCTAGCGAGAGGCAGTGCTCCATCCAAGTTCGGCAGTGCGAAGCTATGGAAGCGGAGCTGGAGGTGCAGAAGAAACACTACGTGGCATCGGATGAAGTGAGCAAGATGATGTGCCACACGTTGATGGAGATAGCGAAGGACATACGAGATCGGTAGACGTCGTGGTCAGGAAGAGACTGCCTAGGCGAAGGCGTCGACGTTTGTCCCGTGTTCCGGGCGAGATGCCAGAAATGCAGAGTGCCCCCTCCGTAGTTCGTCCTCTATGCTAGCTTTGTGCCCGATTACAGGTCGAAAACGACCGACATTCGCCCTGTGCAAGACGTCTGCATAGCTGGGTGGGCGTTTTGGATGGGTTGTGTGTTCCTTTCATTCAGAACATCGCCGAAGGCAAATGATGGCCTTGTTTGTTTTAGGAATAATTTCTTTTTTTGGTAAATTTTCTGGCTTTCGTGGTCTAAGTGGCGATGGCTACCCATTAGTGTCGTCGTCTTGTAGTGCGCCGTCGTTCATTGCGTTGTGAGGCGATGCTTTTGCCTGGTCAACAGGGTTGCAGACGGGAAAGATGGTGGCTGGTGTCGTTGCCTTCGTCTTCCGGTACGACTAATGTAACTCGTTAACGGAACGCAAAAGGTGATTGTTGGGGAAACGACGGTCACCTTTGTATGTGAAATTGATGGTGTTTAATACCGCCAGTGTGGTGTGTCCGTGGTGTGTCGTTTTACCAATCTTGCATTCGTAGACGACCTTTTCCTGAAATGATGGCGTGGTTAACCTCTCGTTTTTCATTGTTTATTACTTCGATTTCGTTGCATGCATGGAGTGGATTTTGAAATGACTTCGTTTTCATTGTTTGTTATCATTTTCTTGTGCGTTACATGCATGGACTCAAACATTTGAACACCTGTCGTCATTCAATATCAACCTGTCGTCAGAATGGTTGCATGCAGTATGTCGGAACGAAACGAAACACAGGCGCACTCGTCACACACACACATCCACTCACAATGATTGCGTGCACACTGTCGAAAGAAAGTCAAACACAGGTGCACCAAAGTACTCACGAAGAAGACGATTGTTCACCTTTCAAAAAGTACATCAACAAATCCATTGCGAACATATTGTGGACTGAACAAAAGCGGGCGAAGGGCGTGGAGCCCAGTTTAAAAAAAAAAAAAAAAAAAATTGTGGGGAAGGGAAACCCCAACGCATGTCTGCGTCTGCATAGTAACACCGACGAAATTGTAAGAACACTATCAGACTACTACGCCCAAAGATTGATTGAAACGTGTCAACACCCCAACCCGACTGGCTAGGACTACAACATCACCAGTACTGACGTATACTTTGATAACGAACACTCGAAAAACAATCGACTCATCATTTGTTAAGTAACAACTCATCTACGGAGAACCACAGACTCCATCTGAGACTCAACGTGACGACACAGCTAAGCCAACACAAAACACTGGGAAGCCGAATCCTCTCCACTGCCCACTCTCCCGCTCTCAGAACTTGAGTCGTCCATATGTGTTGCGGGTGCGACGTGGATATCTACCGCCGAGTGTCATCAACGGGCACTCATCCGCTCCGCCAGCGCATCTTGTAGAATCAACGCATCCCCCGTCGAACGGTCCATGCACACGGGCAGACCCGGGGGGCGTTGGATCCCAAGATCCACACGCCGCCGAACTCCATTGGCATCCACCTCCCAAAGCAAATTGTCGTCGAAGGGGATGCCGGCATTGATGAGAATGTTGTGCAAAATGCACACGGCGACGAACTGTTGTGACAACGTCTCCATATTCGTCTTGCGCGATCGCAGGAATAACCTCCACATACCCTTCAGCCTCCCTAAGACCCTCTCCACTGCCCCCCTCGCGGTCTTCTGCTTGTTGACGAATTGCAACTGGGACGAGTGTTGACTGGTTCCGCCATAGGGAACGACTATCCATTTCGAGGGCGTGTACCCATTGTCGCCTAGCAGATAGCCAATTGTCTGCACTTGGAAGGGGAGCATCACAGGCGGCCCCAGAACAGCTCCCCGGCCTTCGCGCGCGCCCAAAGGCTAGAAAGGTGAATGACCCTGACGTCATGACAGCTTCCCGGATATCCAACGAAAACGTCCAACACACGTAAGTCGAGATCGACAACGACCTGCGCGACGACTGAGAAACGTCATTTCCTGTCGAAGTGATCTTCACCAGGTGCGTTCGCCGGCTTGTCGATGTAGATATGCATGATGTCCATACAGTCGTGGCAGTTAGGGAACCCCTTGTCAGCGAAAGCACGCAAAACGACCGCCTTTCGTACCCCAGTCGACCACAACACCTTTTTCTCATACACCGCCCGTAGCGCCACAGTGACGTCCCCCACCGCCACCACACCCGAAGCTCTGCCAATGCCGAAGTTGCACATGCTGCTCTCGTACGTCTCCCCGGACACCCATCTGTACAATGCGTATGCCACGATGTGGTCTGGCTGCAACGGCTCCCCGTAGAATGTCACACGGCGCTGCAGAAATGGTGACATGTTTTTCGTAATCTCGCAGAAGACACGTGGCGACATACGTAGCTTATCGCGGAAGTACTCTTCTGTGGCGTCGTCTGCAGGCCGCAGATCCTCCCACGCCCCCCCCGTCCTCCTTTTCACCCACCACCTGGGCGTGGCTCTAGGCATACCGCCGCAACCCATGGCGCAACACACCTGGAAGACGGCGTGGCAGATGGCAGCGGTGTCGAGTCCTGCAGTCGACAGCGCCTGCATCGCTTTCCTCTTCCGTGCACGAACCTGCGCCTTCAATCTCCCTGCACTGCGTTCCATCTGGCAGCGCATAAGCACAACGGTAAAGGTCGCGGCAACCGCTGCCCTTTTGGCTGTTGACAACTTTGAACGGTCGTCGTCGGGGACATTCCCCATCGCCGCACAGGGTGCAGAAGACATCGCCTTCAACAACGACCAACAGATTTTGGCGACACACCAACACATGACGGAAACGTGACGCGTGACGACCACGGGGATGGTGCGACGAAGGACGCCCTGAGAACTCGCAGGACACTACTTGATTATCCGCGCACTGACGCGAGGACGAGCTCCGTAATGACGTCTTCTCCACTTTGCCCGTCTCAACTGTGATGGTGGAACGGTCGTCCACGTGCCGCCCCAGGCCCACCGTCGTCGAAGGATGTGGTTCCACGATGATGTTGTCCACCGCCCGCCACAGGCCCCACCCGATACTCCTACGCCACGCCACCCAGTTTTGAAATTCAAATTTCGAAACCGGAGGCCCGCGCGTGCATGTTCCTTTTTTTTCGACCCCGCAGCCGAATTTTGAAATCTCCCGCCGCCTGGTGGTGGACCAAGCCCAACCACCCGGACATCACATCTTGGACCGTCGCCCACTGCCCCGGCCCGCGGCCGCGTATTTTATTATGATCATCCCCGCAGCCCCTCCTCGGAGCATCCTCGGGAAATCGACCCGAGGACCTGGTGCAACGACGACGGGAAATTCCTCGGGCGACGTAAAGGAAAAATCCTCGGGCCCCGAGGATGCCCCGAGGAGTGTCTAACGAGCTCCAAAGAACAACAACCAAAAAAAAAGCCTCAGTTGGATACCTTTTTTGGAGTACTGCCCTCAGTGAGGGCACTTCGGCCGAACGAGGAACACGGGGAGCATGACTGTCAACATCACAAAAGAAGAAGAAGAAAAAAAAAAGCCAACAAAGCTTTGGCCGTGAAAGTGGTTGGATGCATTTCAACAGTGCTAGTGTGAGTATGCCCTCAGAGAGGGCGTTTTGAGCAAGAGGAATATGCGTTGCCTTGCTGGCAGGGAAAGGAATAAAAAAACAAAAGGAGAAAAAAAAAAAAAGCAATGTTTTCCTCCCCTGTAATAGTGGGCAGATGCATTATGGAAAGTGATCGTTTGAACCACCAGTACCTACCGGTTGTCAAGGCCCGTGGCTCAGGCTACCGGTAGGCTGGTCATTGCCGAGCCTCGGACAACCGGTATACACAATAGGAAAAAAAAAAAGAAAAGAAAAAAACAAAAAAAAAACGAGGACAGCAATCTGAAAAAAAAAAAAACAACAACAGAAAAACGAAATCACGATTCAGACGTTTCCATCGAGAATGAATCTTCCTCGATAAAGAGGAAGATTCAAGATTCAAGATTCAAGAGAGAGAGACAGAGAGAGAGAGAGAGAGGGCGTCAGACACTGGCTGACGCCCTCTCTCTCTATATATATATATACGTTGAAATGGGAATGAATCTTTCGTGATAACGCGGCAGATTCATTCTCATTTCAACGACAATCTCTCTCTCTCTCTCTCTCTCTCTCTCTCTCTCTCATGAAATGAGAATGAATCTTTCTTATTTCTTCACAGAGAGAGAGAGAGAAGGCATCAGGCACTGGCTTACGCCCTCTCTCCCTCTCCCGCTCTCTCTGTCTCCTCTCTCTCTCTCTCTCTCTCTCTCTCTCTCTCTCTCTCTCTCT